AGAACGGCATAAAAAGAATTACTTTGGAGCTGGGAGGAAAGAGTCCTATGATAATTTTCAAAGACGCTGACCGTAAGAGCAATTATTAGGAAATGAAAACGACTTTTGAACGTATAAATCTTTCTTAGGTTACTTCAATTGCAAACTTTCGATTATTTTTTATTTTTTTAATCGTAGAAATGGTCTATTTCTTTTCTGTACTTTTAAAAAATAAAATAAGAAATTGCATTTCTCTTGTCAATTTTACCAAATATTTTGCTTCTAAGACAGCCAATTCAGATCCCACGGCGGCCTTCGTTCATTTAGGAACAATGCTTAATACTATTAATGGATCCAAGCACAACTTCCTACTATACTGCTCTCTCCTGGGCGTTCAAGTGTAAAATATTACAGAGCAAAGTACACCATGTTACCCTACACTATTTAGGAGAGTATTTAATGCATTCCATAAAAAATAAATAATCGTCTACTTTGCGTATACGGAACAAGGAATAAACCATATAGTATGTTTACGATATGCCTTTCGAATATACACTTTTTTTACACCTATGCTTATTTATTGTCAAATGCTACACAGCACATCCATTATATTTGACCACTTCAAAATCCATTTCATTAATAATTTTTGCTTTGTATCCCGACAGCATTTTTTTCTCGTTTTTACCAAGTTTCATTATATAAGTGTCTTCCTCAATTTTATTTAATTTTAGAACGACTGCGTAGCACTTGCTATGATAAATTAGATGTTATTAATAATATTTGACGATTTTTTCTAACATGAGACCGATTCCGAAATATTTATTATAAGCCCATACCTCGAAAACTGTCATTAAATCTGCATGTCTACACTACATTTTTATTTCTTTCCTTTCCAAAAAATAGTCGATTTGGCTATCAGTAAGGCACATATGGGCCTCTTCTTTAACCAGGGTCAATGCTGTTGTGCCAGTTCGCGCATCTACGTCGAAGAATCCATCTACGCTGAATTTGTTGAGGGTAGTGTTGAAGCGGCTAAGAAACGACGCCTAGGGGACCCGTTTGAATGGGACACAGATCAAGTATGCTTGTATCAAATATATCTTGCTAATAATTTTGCAATTTTAATTTTAATGTATATGCTTCTATCATCCTTGGCAAAAGAGTTGAGCACCGCAAGCACCACCTTAAAATTAAGTCAAAATATTCAATCCTAACTGCTCCGAGTGCTGCTCATTTAACGACAACAGGTCCTTAGTTAACAACTTTATTTGCATACTACAGAGCTGAAACTTGAGCTTTAAGTGGAGATATAAACATTTTAATGACTTACTATCCATCTACTAGAGTTATTTTTGGCTATGACTAAGCTTTCACCATTTATTCAGAAATAATAAGTGAAGTTTACCTATTAAGAATCAATTAGCAACTTATTCCTACCAATATGAGAGTAACTACACGATTTGCTACCTATCTTATGCTATTTTACATTGTATCTTAAATGAGTATGCTTTTAAAGTATCAGTAGATTTGGAATGAACATCCAAGTCACCCCGGGCTGCTTAAAGTGATGAAAATGATAGTTTATTTTCTCATAATGAGATGAGTAGATATCAGGAATTTCTCTTTGCGTTGCCTTTCAATGGCAGGATGCTTATAGCGTTATATTTCCTATCTTCTTATTGTATCCTATAGGGGTGTGCAGTTTTAATTACTTCATTTAATATAGTTTATGGCTAA